ATTAATGCATCAAATCACTAGCCGTCACATGTATACGTAGGTGGACTACGATAGTAAACGACTGTAAATAACGTTACTTTTAATTGAACTTTAAGTTAAGCCTCTATTTCACAATTCATGAATGTAATTACTAAATTACCCCATCTAAAAATTTAAACTTAAATAAATAGAATAACAATGTAACATGTCTCCTCATATTCAAGCCAAATTCTCACTCTTCCCCTTTCTCTCTCTTTTATTGAATGCCTAATACGTTCACAATTTTCAAAGTAGGTAACAATGAAATTTCTGGAACTATATTAAATTATCTACAAGTACTTAGAATTTTACATTAATCAAATTAAATTTAATTACTTAAATTATATTATTTATTTATTTAATTTACTACTTAAAAATTGAAGCTCATATGTATAGATGTAATTTTATTATAATTATATACTATAATATATTAAAGTTGTATTATTATAATGGTAGATTAATTACAGTATAAAATAATATTTATTATAATTTTAATATAATTATTTATATAGACGAGCTTTGATTTTAAGTGATTAAAATTAATTTAATTAATATAAAATTATGAGTACTCCAACATGAAAAATAAACTTCATACTTAAAAGGAGACCACATGAAGTTAAATTGTAATTGATCTCTATTTTGAATGTAACTTTGGTTTTTAATATAAAATAAATGCTATGGATTAATATAATGAGCATGATTAGTAGGTAATTTTTTGTTTCTAAATGTGTTAGATAATATATGTTTTTGTTTTACTTATTAAGATAAAAAAATTTATGTTACAGACAAGATGAGTAATTTTATATTTTGAAAATTATTTATATTCCTTTAGTTTACTTATAAGTAAATATTTTAAACTTAGTCAAATGTACTCTCTTAATTTGATTCTTCTTTATATCCGTTTGCACCAAAAGCTAATTGATGCCGCTATAATAGTTGAAACTAGGGGTTCATTCAATGTCTAACATAAACTAAGAAGTAAAAAAAACATTGCATTTTAGTTTATTTAATATTTTTACATTATGTAAGTAATTTCATAAACTTTTAGTTTATCAATTACCTTACTTTAAAAATATTATTGATATCATTTATTTCGTATGTAAGACGTGCAACACACGTGCTTACTACTAGTTTTATGTTAAAAATTAAGTTGCTAGTGATATGAAAATTTTATTCATTTAGTATTATGGTAAGGTATTAATTTATTATAAGCTTGAAATTGTAGCATTCGACTTCGTCAGATGTGACTATTATGTTATTATATCAATTAAATAAGTCCTAAGTGGACCTAAGAATCCAAATTATAGTTTTCATGGGGACTATCTATATAAATGTTAGTTTAACAATGTTTAACCTCTATTCAAGTAAAGATAATTCAAAGTGATTTTAATTATGATCTTAAAATTATAAATCTACGAAAACGGTTAAAAAAGTGTGCAAATAGATAACTTTGAGTTACTACTTATGTACGAAATGGATTGTGACTCATGATTTTATCGTAGTTATCCCCTTTAATCTCACATCTCAACTTTCATTCCTAAAGTTGTACTATGTCGAATCCAGTAATTAAATCAACTTACCTCTCTCGAGTGCAATCGATCATATCTAATTGAATCGACTGACCCACTGTATCTCCACATGAATCTAATAAACCTCAAATAAGTGCATTACAACACCTGAGAATTTAATTAAAAATCGCATTAAAAATAAAAATGTATCTCTACTTCTATCCAATTACTGAATTTTAATACTCAGTCAAAATCTATAACTCACCACTCATTATGTTATATACTCACAAATCAATGAAATAGTAGATCAATTATTTCAAAGCATTAAAGAACGAAAGTAAAATCAATACGTGAAACAACTAAATACGAGAATCTTGAAAATTGAAAGTAAAGGTTCAAAGTTAGGTTGCATCATTCTTTCTAAGTATTGTTTTAGTTAAATATCATAATGGACGGAAAATCAAAAGATTTTTAGTACATCGCTGGGTATAAAGGAAACATGAGAAAAGATTATATTCTTGCGCCAATAATCAGTGTTCTTCATGCTATGTTCTTGAACCCTAGTTTTTTATTTTTATTTTTTCTTGTAACTCTCTTTTTTCTCTTGTTTGTGTAATGTGTAACCCCTTATTGGACCTCGAATAGATCCTTGTACATAATGCTTGATCTGTCTTAAAAGCCATGCCTCCAAAAGGACCAAAATACTCAGGAATTTAGTTTTTTTTTTTTTTTTTACAAGGTGTCCGGGCTTGCGTCCGACTAGATCCTTGTCCCTGAACCTCCGGCCCCTCAGCAGCTCAGGGAGGTAAATCGCAGGATGTGCCCTTATTGGCTCCCAGGTTCCCACAACTCATTTGGACTCCTTCCGCAAAGAGAGCTCTCCTTACTGGGCGTTTGTTCACACCAATGGCTTCCTCTCCATATGGCTCCCAGTGTTAACTCCAGGAATCGAACTCTCCACCCTTGCTTCCAGCGTCCCAGTGAAGTGATTGTTCCACCAACTCGGATGTGCCCTGGGGGGCTAATAGCACACATTAGATTTCTTAGACTGCAAGTGGACCAAGGCTTACAAACAGCAAATATTCCCGTAACTTTTAGCTTTTTGCATTTTGATCCCCATTTCAAGTTTTTTGTACGAGTTTGGTCTTTTTCATTCGATTTAGGACTTCCAAAAGTTCCCCGCAGTGGTCCCCAAACCTCCATAATCATCCAAAAAAGGACCTCCTCAAGTTTCAAAAGTGTAAAAATCACTTTTCAAACTTTCCATATGTTGAATTTCGCTTTCAAACTTTTGACAATCCTCCATTTGCTCTCTTAATGATTCTTGTCAATTCCATGCAATCCAATTAGTCTATAGTTACTTCAATTGGGCTCGAAATCTTTCTTTTTGCTCCAATAACCTTCAAGTTCAAATTTTACCTAAAATAATAATATTTACACTAAATAAGTAGAAATCTCCCCAATTTAAAAGTGATGATCAAGTTTGTCATTATGAATAAACGTGTAAAATACACTTATCAATGACCTTAAACACGTTACTAAAAACAGCTGAGCGAATCTTTTGTTAAACTCAAAACTTTTTCTAAGAAACCTAATAAAAATTTAAGAATATAGGGAAAACGACACTCTCTATTTATTTTTTGAGGTCCAAGGATGATCAAAACGTGGAGTGGGACAACACATAGCAAAAGCACAAATGCCTTTTGTCCCGCGTGATCTTCATACGAGGTTCTGAGTTTAATCTCATAGCAATGGTCACGTCAAACACTTTAGCCCATGTTCGGCAGTCCTTTTTTTTGGGATCTTCATGTCTCAATTCCATCATCCTAAGTTTAATATTCTTTGGTCGAGAGCATGTTCCTTTCTTTTCCAGGTAGGCGAATTGCCTTTTTGATTTCTTCCGTACGTCAAATAACGTGTCGATCTCAAAGAGTTCTCTTAACTTATCTATTGCTTTAATTTAGACCACCAGCTCAAAAGTTACTTTTTTCCCCACCACTTGTCTATTCTGATACATCACACATGGTGGTGCAGGGCAAGAGATTGTATGTTATGAGAGTCCACGGCCATCAATGGGTATCCACCGTTTCGTTTTCGCGTTATTCCGGCAGTTGGGCCGCCAGACGGTGTATGCTCCGGGGTGGCGCCAGAACTTCAACACCAGGGACTTTGCCGAGCTCTACAATCTTGATTTGCCAGTCGCCGCCGTATATTTTAACTGTCAAAGGGAGAGTGGCACTGGTGGACGAAGACAGTGAAGTGGAGAAATATATATTAAGTTTACATCCATAAAAATATATATTATATATTTATGGATAGAATTGATGGGAAAAAAAATTAATAAAGTTCCATCAACATGAATGGGAAATTAATGATGGTTAAATGAAGGCTAATTAGTATAAAAGGTCTCTACCTTGTAATGTTATTGCGTAAAATGTCATTATTTTTCATTTTTTTGCATTTTCAACTCTATTTTCACCTTTCATCGTGGAAAATGTCATTTTCATCCAATTTCTGAATAAAAAAAATATAAAATGACAAATATGTCTTCCTATTTAAATAAAACAAAAAAAAGAAAAGAAAATTTAAAGAAAAAATTGCAGTAAACTCCCAAACTTTTTTAAAAACTACAAATGAGTCCAAATAAATTATTAAAAGGGTAATTAGTATAGAATATTTCCAACTTTCAATATTATTGTGCAAAACATTAATATCTTTCTTTCTTTTTTTGACATTTTCACCCTTATTTTCCCATCATATTGTGAAAATCATCATTTTCATCCGTTTTCACAATTAAAAGTTGTAAAAAAACGAATGTACCCTTCTATTTAAAGAAAAGAAAAATAAAGAACAAATTGAAGAAGAATTAATGCAATGTAAGGGGCACATAAATCATTTCAATTGTCTGCTTTAATTGTTGGTTACTAAGGCAATCAATAATTTCGACTGGTATGAAATCCATGTGCATTGTATAATGGTCAAAAAATTGCTAAAAATTGAAGAATCAGCGCAACTAGACAGCCTATATTTTGACGACTAACATTTTTCATGCGAAAAACTAGACATAATTTCAACTAACTGGAACCAAATATGTAGAAAGTAGAAATGTAGGAAATGAACTTTTAATCACAATTCAATTTTTTAATTATTTTCGCAAGTAATAAGGCACGTTGAAAGTTCGTCCAATTCCAATATCGATGTATGAGGATGAACATACCCCAACATCAGATTTATGATAACAGACCAACAACATCAACCCGTCCCGTCCTGTTTCATCCATATATAAACAGAGAATCCAGCAGGTAAGTCTTAAAAGCAGATAAAAATAAGTAAAATGTTTTACTTTTAAGTAACTTTTTAAAGGGTCATTAGCACAAAACGTCTTACGTTTGACCTATGGTGTGCAAAACACACTTTGGACTCATTTTTAATTTGAAACTGGAAGGCTAAAATGATCAGGTTCTTCCCCATAACATACACACAATTTATCTTCCATCTTCTCCATTGTTTACGTCCCATGAGCAAACCGATTTTCTTTATCCCCTTCTCCTATAATCTAAAATTTCTTGTCTCGCAGTGTGCTATTCTCTGCAAGCAGTGAAGCCGAACTCAGAAAAGGTATTATTTTCATTGTGAGTCCGTTATTTTTTATTTTACTGCTCGAAATTTCAAGCTTTGAGTGATTGACCTTGCTATTTTTTATGGAATTTATTGTTGTTCTCCACAGGATTTTGTGTCGAATCAAAATGCTTCCTCCATTTATTAGAGAGCCCGACAACGAGACACCCTCATACGGTATGAACGTTGTCCATTCATGATCACTAGTTTCCCTTCATTAATTTTGTTGCTTCATGGAATTAAAAATTGGAACTTTATTGGAATGTGAAATGGGAAAAGACCTTCAACACTGTGAGGATAATTCTTAGGGATTTATAGGTATTCCGCTGAAATTACAAGATATTGGTTTGAAAGTTGAAATTTCTATGGCTTTGATTGGGTTTTGAGAATTATATGATGTACAGTCCATTATTGCCCTAAGTTGATCAGTGTACATTTCTTCATTTCCATATCACCTTTCGCTGTTCATTCCCTTATCTCCATATTCTTTTGCATGTAGGAGCAAATTTAGACTACTTCATTGTTGAATTGCATCATGAAGAGCACTTTTATGCTAAGCTAAACAATCTAACATATGAACATGGATTTGTGCTTTTCTACGATTTCTTCCATGTCTTATTATTTATGAAAGATAATTTGACAAAGTTTTTAAGTGCAGTTGGTAATGATTTGATGTTGCAGTTTAACTAAAAAGAACAAAAAATGAGTTTAGGGAAGGGATTGACTAGATTGGAGAATGAGAAGGGTATTAAAGAAATGCTTCGGTATAGAGATGTGCATCTAGTAGTGTAGATATATGTTGTAATCCATTGCAATTGCATGCATTGCCATTGCATGCATCGATCTAATAAGTTAAAATGCAATGCGATGAAACACAAACATTTGAATGTTGTTACGTACCTTCTGTGGAAGAAAACAAGAGTGAGGAGCCTGAAATTGATTGGTCAGGTCAGTTTTTTCACGAGAATGCTAAAGAATTGTGGTCAGATTACGAGGAAACCCTACAATACCATCATGAAGAAGATCAAAATATGGGTGATATAGCTGTTGAAGAAGATGAAGTCAATGTTGAAACTCATAATGATGACAAACGAAGTAGGGGAGATGAGGTTGAAGGTTTGGTGGAATCTAATTACAAGATGGAGGATCAACCAGTGTCTAATGCTGAAATTGAGAATAATAGGGTTAATTTTTATTTTGGATTTGGAGACAACTTCAGCAGACTTAACTATTCTAGGGATGAGAGCAACCTAAACTCGAACATGTCAAAAATATGGTGAACCAGGACAAATAGGAGGACCTGTAAAGGGACACCACCACCATCAAGTAACTAGGGACAGCCTATTCACTTTCTTTTCTTTTTTTGTTGTTGAATACAGTTGTAGTGCCAACCTGAAAAGGTTGTTCAATTGTAAGTTTCTTTTGTTCATGTATCTAAATGGTCAACAGTATAACGGTCGAAACGGGTGTGTCTAAAAGTCTCCATTTTGCTTATTTTAGATGCAAACTTGGTTCGCTCTTAATTTTGTTGCTGTTTTAAATTTGTAATTTGGTTTGAGTTGCCATGGTTGATTAGTCTTTGAGTTGTTGTGGTAGATTACGATCATTTTGCTGCTGTGAATGAAAGGGATGCCTACAGGATATGACAGGGACAGTTTTAACATGAATCTAAAACACAGGGATGTTATGCGCAAAAATTGTCAACTTAGGGACTTTTTGCTCAAGAAACTTTGAAACGTTGGGATGTTTTACTCAAAGATAGTTTCAATTCTGGGATGTTATACGCAGAACATTTTGTAACGTAGGGACTTCTTTCACATGTTCAAATTTAGGGAAAAACAGATTGACAGCTTCTGCTTTTGATGTAGAATTCCGGGACTAAGATTTGTGATCTTGGAATTGGTTTGTTGCGTAAATGGGAGATGAAAGCAAGTGTGGAAGTCAAAATTCAATTTTCAAGAATGCGTCAGTCATGGCGATGATGAACAGTGGACTTTCAAAAATGCAGTAGCCATGGTGATAATGATGATTATGAACAGTGGATTTCATGCCATTTGGAAGTGAAATCTTTTATCCTTCCAATTTCAAATTAAAAGTGAGTTTAGTTAGATGTGCGTTTTAACAATGGTCCACAATGAAATTTTAAAATAAAACGTAAATAATTGAAACGTTTTGGCACATTAAAAGTCTATAGGGGACGTTTTGTGCTAACAAATCTTTTAAAATTATGTTTGGATAAAATTATATTTTTCTATCAGTTGTCTTGTTTATCAAATTAACGGAAAATGTGAAATCTTTTATCTCCTCCAATCAACACATAGATGCTGTATATCATTCCTTCTAAGATTGAAACATTGCCTGAAGCCATTTATTTTGTAAATCGTCTAACTGACTACTCGAATACGTATTTTCTCTGCCTTATCTTTGCACGGGACTGGGTATTAATATTTGTAAGATTGATAGACAATTTCACTTAATAGAGAAACAAATACATATTTATAAATATATATAAGAAATCCGCATCCAAATTGGAGAAACCAAAAACAAATAAACTAGTCAAACAATGATATATCAAGCGATAATCCTTCATTATCTATATTACATAATAATATCAAACTTGGAAAGGCCATGGCCAATTCTTCAAGTCCTCCTCTTCTTGAACCTTAGAATTCTTCATTGCCCGAGAATTGACTCCATCATTTTGCACATAAGCATAGTAATTCAAGAAGAATGCAAGTGTAAGAACAACCCATTCTAGGCAGAATATCAATATACACAACCCACCAGCCAATTTCAATATCGTCACACCATCTTCTTCCCTCACATAGGATTTGAGATTTCCAAGAAAATCTTTAGGCCTTGTGTAGATAAGCACAGAAACAGAGCCTTGAAATATTGCTGTAAGCACTGTGGCTACCATGTGGGCTCCATACCACTTCCGGGCACCTCGGGCAGCTGAGGCAGCGGCGCAGCCGGCAATGGCACCGATAATGGTGGTGACGTGGAGGAGGATCAAGAAGAAGCCGCAGAGAGAAGGGATCAGCCGGAGGGAAAGTGTCAAGAAAATGCAACTGGAAGCTGCACCTAAGAGAATGTAATTGCATAAGAGGAAAACCTTGTGAGTGTGGCAGTGTGATTCATTTGAAGAATTCTCTACGTTCAATCCTCCCATTTCTTGCAATTTTTTGTGAGAAATTGGGTTTTGCTGTTGTGCTACTGAGAATTTGGGGGAAAATGCAGAATTGAAGACTTATTTGTTATGTGAAATGAGATGAAGATGATCTGTATATATGATGAAGGGTGTGGGAAGGCAACGGTCACATTTGAAATTGAAAATACGACCGTTTAGAAAAAGCTAATAAAATTGGGGGTGTAACGGCTACTAAAATTTGTTTGTACCTTTTTTTTTTATAAGAGGGGAATGTGTAGATTTGCTTCGAAAGGATAAAAGATAATTAATAGAACCACAACTTTTTTACAATACAGATTACTAACTTTTTATCGAAATTTATTAAAAATTCAATTTTAATCCTCATCAAGCGTGGACTAAATTTTAAGTACCTGTTTGATTTAGATAAAAAAAATAAACTTTTAGTAAATTTTGATAAAAATTGATATAGGCCCGGTTTGGTAGGGATTTTTTGTCCCAAAAAATTGATTTTTTTACCGTTATTTTACTATTCAATCCGTAATTTTTGACTTCTTCTCTCACATGTGAACCCTACTTTTTTTCTAACGGTCAAAAAATCAATTCTCAAAATCCTTACCAAACGGGCCCATAATATGTAATTAAAAAATTGTGAATTCCATGAAATGTATTGTCAAAATTTAATTATTCATTTTGACTTAAATTTTAATAAACTTTTTAGCAGAATAAATAGGGGCTACGTTTTATATATGTCTCGAAAGTCGAAACTCATATCTCATTTGATATGTTGAATTAGACATGATAATAGAACGATTTATAAAATAGGAAAGACTTATTAAAAATAAAATGAAATTAAATACAAATTCAAAATTAATGCTCATAAGGTAATTTATAAAATTGTGAAGTTCAATTTTGTCCTGTTTCAAGCGTAAATTACCAAAAGAAAATTAGGTTAGAAGAAAAATGTTCTAATACAGGTTTTAAATTTCTCACAAGTAATTAAAAACCTTTTTCTCAGAATCTCAACGAATAATTCTTTAAAAATCTTACTTGGGAAAATCGAAAATACAAAATAACAATGATGTAAATACAACGCAGCAACACCAGTAACTAAAATGTACTTTTTTTTATTCTCCAACAGCGTTTGAAAAGTAAAAAATACAAATATTTCATTTTATTTGACTGCATATAACAGAATAAGTAACTCTCCACAAGTTGCTCATAATAAGCATCAGATTCAAAATATTAAAGGAAAAAAAAAATGAAGTGCATGAAATACTTCTTAAACACAATAGTACATGACTGTATACAAATTCTTCAATCTTCATCCTAAAATTATTATAATTTGAACCAAACAATACTCAGGCTTGTAAAAAGCTTGCATATTTGGCACCTAGGAAAAGCCTTTGGATGCAGAGCAAAGCATTTTTAGTGACCTCTGCGTTTTCATGGTTCAACAATTTCATCACCCGCTCCTTTGCTTTCAGGTCAGTCACTATGATACGACCAGCAGGATGGTACTGAATGAACTGCGAGATATCAAAGCAAGCAACAGCTAGTGTTCGAGGATTAGTGGACGTATCCAAGATTGTGATCAGGACCGTTACCCAGGTGAAAAACAGTGGTGCCTTCCATAAGAATCGAATCAACAACACTCCCCACTACTACAATTAGATCCTTCAGTTCTATGGTGAAGCATAAAACAGAGGAATGTTCACTATAATTGGGCAGGGGTAATCTACATTCCTCTTTTTCTGATTTGAATTTCAGGAACTGGTGTTTGGGTTTTGTAAATAATTTCTTTCAATGTCCAAACTTATAATCCTTAATTTAATATAATTTAAGCTGAGCCACGTTGTTTGTGTCCTGTTTTTGACTAAGAGGTTCCATTTCTAATTATTGTTTGAGAAGATACTAGGTTTTGCAAAGGGAAGAGGGTTCCAATTTGTCACCATCCCCAAAATTGTGCCCACTTTCAGAAATGGATAAATCTATTGGTACATAATTTTGGATGGATCCAAAATTAATGTACCCCAATCATGGCTCTTCAGAAATAGCTCTTAAAAGATGCATCATTTAGACTGTTACTTTAATTGTCGGCACTCTCTCTCTATCTCTCTCTTTTTTTTTTTTCGTTTTTTTTTGGTGGGTTTGGGGGGGGGGGGGGGGGGCTTCCTTTTTCTTCTTCTTTTTTTTATTTCTTTTATTTTGTTTTTTTACCTTTTTTTTGCGGGGTGGGCAGGGGACGGCTTTCACAAGAATTTTTTCCTACAATTATTTTGGAGGTGGGTACACTGAAGGAAAAAAATGAGCAAATCTGGAGTTCGAGTTAATATAACAAGAATAGCTAAACTGCACAACAATAGTCCAGCGACATCGGCAATACCTGGAAATCATTTTCTTCGAAGTTCGTAATATTTTCCCGCCAAAATATAGGATCTTTGTGCATAGGAGACCAATCAAGATGTCCAAGAAGGACTTCCTGTTTGTACTTATCGAAAGAACTTAGCTTCTTAATGTTATCCTTCAGTCCTTCTTCAAGTTGGGTCAGTGCCTCCAGCAGATCCTACAGAAAAAAACATTCTCACTTTAGCACCTGAAATATCAAGGGTAAGAAGGAGGTGGGGAAGATCACCTAGGCTTTAAAGCAGGATCGACAGATTGACAGCAGTTCTAAATGAGCCACTACTATGACAGATTGACAGCAGTTCTAAATTTCAAGTACAGCCCTTGTGAACAGAGGAATTTGTTTTACCATATGTTTTTTTAAGCTATTCTGAACTATTAATGATAACACCCTTGCCCCCACAAACCTATAAAAAGAACAAAACCACAGCACCACATTGCGTCTCAGCAGTTGAAACGTCCTTGACAAATCATAAGCAAGGAATAGGCAGATCTTTTTCCCACATAAATTGGCACATAATAGACATGGCAATTCTCAACGTTAAAGAAGAATGCATTTATAGGCACCCTTTGCCAGTGCCTTGTCTAAATGTAAAGGGAATAAAACTTTGGTAATGTTTCTTTACATAATTTGTGTGTGAAAAATGCACCCTTTTCGAAAACGGCTTTTCCATTTTCCTTATTTCGAATTCAGAAATAAATAAGAAACCATACAAAGATATTTCTCTCACCTCATCACTCCATGCCTGTGCTTTCAAACTCTGGACAAGCTGAGGCAATCCCAGATCTATCATCAGAGCACCATATGTCCCCTTTTGAAGCAAGTTCCTAAGAGTCAACACAACTACCCTGACGACCTAATAGCAAAGATGGGATAGATGTTACATTCTGAGGTGAAATATGTAAAGTGAATAGAACACAATATTGTTCATAATTTCATGCTGAGAATTTCTAAGGCAGCTGTTAAATAGGGGGGGGGGAAAATCTGTCTGCAGAAAGTTTTAGGAATGATAGGATGAGATGAGCAGATATTATAGGTAAAAAACAATCTGAAGAATCAAAAGGCTAAACAAGAATATATAAAACCAACAACATGGTTGATCTCAGCATAAGTCACCCACAGGAACTTACCTTTTCTTTTGTGGAACCTTTAACAACTTCAATCAAACGTGGCAAGGATCTAGAAGTACCCAAGTACTCAATTGCAGGTTCATAGTAAGACAAAAGCCATACACATAGACATGTTTCGTAGAGGAGCTGTTTCAAGAATAAATTAAAATTCAGAAATGTCAAATTTTAAAGTATGATACAGAGATCAGATATTACGTTAGTTTTAAGAATTCCAACTTTACATGACTCCAGGATGAGATTGAGAACCCATCCACCAACCAATATCTAGGACTCAGGTAATTTAGGCATAGAGGTTAGGTGCTTTTGCTTGTACTTGTACTCAACAATATAGTTACCTGAATGGACTGTTGAGTGGATGCTGGAGAAATTAGAGGAACTAGAAGCTTCACTCCATCTGATTGAACAAATGAAGATCGCACAACAGGCTCTTTAAGTAGAGTGGCAAGACAATTGATTGCTGTTGGAATGCCACGGCTAGGATGAGAAGGCTTCTTCAGCTGTATATGTAGACAAGTTGACGCAGGAGCATATTAATTTGACAACGAAAAAGAAAAGAAAGAGGATCAAAGAAGAGAAGAATTGAGGGCAAAGAAAAAACCAATTTTTATTCATATATTCAACGGTGCTTATTACAATGAAGAGAAAATAAACTAAAATCAAACGAACTTATAATAAACTAGATTGTTATCGAAATATTAAAAGTACTCTAATATATCTAATCTAAAAAGTACATATTTTAAATCAAACTCTATTGTAAAATCCTAATTAAAATCTAACTCTATATTGATTTTTATCCTTACCTACAAGTATAAGGACAAGGATGTTTGCTATATCACATGAAAGTAAATCTAATAATATTTTCCTGCTTAAGCCACTGAAAGGGGGAAAAAAGACTAAATGCGTATTTCACCAAACTTATGAAAAACTGAGGTTTGGTACGAGTTAGTCTCCAAAAATTAAATTCCATTTAGCTTTAACCTTTTCAGTTGAAACTTTTATTTGTGTATCCAACTTATAAATAGAATGAACTGTAAAACACGAAAAATTAATCATAAATGAAACTTGAATATTAAACATAGCGAGTACTGCTTGATGATAAAAAGATATGTCAAAATATCAAAGATATTATATAAAAAGCTTAGAGTATAATCTACACCTTGTGCATTCAATATCAAGTTCTTAAGTTTTGCCATTGAATAATTTTCCCAGAAATATAAAATAGACATGCGTTGCTTTTATTCTGATAGCCAAAATATCTTAATACTCACTAATACGCCCTATATGTTGAAAGAAACTAAGATAAGCCTAAAAAATTCAAGGACCGTCTGGAATTTTCGTTTACTTTGCTTGTTATGAGAAGTTATCCCTTCACTATATCACTGCGTCTATGCAACATGAGAGAAAAAGTAAATTATGGATATTCCATGTACATTCTTGATTGTTTTATTAAGTTTTGTCTCCCATAGGTGGCAGTGAATTAGACTAATATAGTAGAGACTTTGTTTGGAGGGTGGAAAACACATTACAACATATAGTTCAAACACTACACATCTACTCCTTGTCTGCATTTGATCAAGAGTGTATTTCTTCTT